ATAATATGATAACTCGTGAAATAATATTTGATGAGAAAAGGTAGAAAAAAGTTATTATATTATTTTTAATAAGTTTTGTAATCTTAACGCGGTAAGATCATTAAAAAAGAATAAAAAAAAAGATACGAATAAGATATCGAGTAAGATTTAAGGGATGTGTATCTTCGTCTCGTAGGAATCAATTAAATTCAACGATGGGTAGAGGAAGATGCCGCAGGGCTCCATGGTGGTTATTTGCTTAGATATAGTTTCGCATACGTGGTTACTAGACATGATAGCTTATTAGCCAACCGTGGTTCGCATTACGTTCCTCGTTGGTCAACCTTCGACATGTTCATGTATTAATCTATAATACTTGCATCTAACACCTACGATCGAATCTGTTTATAGTTTTTGTATTTCATCTTTTAATATTAATATTATTTTTTTAGAACAATTCGTACACGATATTAAACATTTTTTATTTAACTTATATTTCTATTGATTAACTTTTATTAAAATACTAAAAATAATTAATAATTATTTTCTATATAAGATGGAAAATTTTATATATATATATTATATTTAATATCAGATATATATTTTTAAAATTAATGAATAAAAATATAATGAATATTTTCTTCTTTTTTTTTTTCTTATTAATAATACATAGAAAGAGAGAGAGAGAGAGAGAAGTATAAGGAAGGGGGAAAAAAATGAATATCATGAACTTTAGACTCGTTAGAAAAGATTAAATGAGATGGAAACTTTTCAAAGACTATATTCATTAGAGTCTCACGATCTAGGAGGTTATTTTAAGCATAAGTCTATTACATTATACGACCAAGGTTAATGGACGAAAGTAATCGATCGGATAGTAAGACTAGTCGATCAAGAAAATATCAGAAAGAAATGTGATATATGAGAGTACCTTTGAAATAATATAATTAAAATATATATTCTATGGAATATATGATAAAATTTAATAGAAATGAGATATTAACCTTATTTCCTTTTATTTCTACTTCTATATTTTTTTTTTTTTTTACAAATTTCCATTACCAGATACTGTACCATTATCAGACATAAATTCAATTGAATATTTTAAATACAAAGAGAAAAACTCGTAGAAATAATTCCCTATAAAAATATCATATTATTTACTTTAGAAGATGGATTATATCGTATTATCGTTATAAAATGATTTTATATAATATCATTTATAAAATTATCTCTTACAATTTATTTCTTTCACATTTTTCTATTCGATACGTATTACGAACGGATGGGATAATCATTTGATATTTAACAATGAGTCTCTTTTATTAAATAAAAAAATTCAATAACGTTGTGTTTATTTATTTAAATGTTATCTCGTTTATCGAGATAAAATACCTGTATATATATGAATTTTTAGGAAATATTGTATATAATATACTGTATTATCTTTCCTGTTGACAACATATCGATTATAAACATTTTTTCTAACTCACTCAATTCTCTTATTCATACCGCGTTCTTGGTAATATTTAATATTTTATCCTCTATCGTTGCGTATATTTCTTTAACTTACAGATTTTGTTTATCAGTCGAACGGTAAAGATGACGCACGTCAGTAGTCGAGTTTTACAAAAGAAACCATTTTTAAAATATAAAAAAAGGTAATACAGAGATTTCATTTTTGTTTATCATTATGCATTTAAAATTAAAAATGATTCCAGTTTACTCGTATAACAAATTTGGTATATTCGAATAATCTTGAAAATTGATCAATTTTGACTATTTTATTATCTTATTTTCGATTTATTCGATCATTCGAATATAAGATCCTTTAGATCGATATTTTCCAGTTCGCACATTCGATGTTCCAACCAATCGTATAATCTCGTTTGAGTTTCTAACTCGTACGTGAAAGAAAGGTAATCGATTTTTCGAGTCATGTCCAGTAATTCGGTCTCAAACCAGCAAAGTGAGAGAGCAATCTTTCACTGATACACATCTGTCTACTTCGAAGACAGTAAGATGAAACTAACTGAACTAACTGAACCTTTATTCGTCATTTACTAATCCAACATTATTCCGAATCTTATCTTGTAAAACTAAGACCATTCATTATTTCCCTCTGTTACATTTATTTTTAATATATTATTTTGTTCAGAGAAACAATTTGTACAATTTTTTGTAAAATAGTAATCGCGTTAATTGTTACAAATAATAATTTCTTATCATTCCAAATGATTATAACAAGTTTGTGTCTAATTGATTATTTTCGAAAAGAAAAATTGTCCGACTAACTAATCATTTTGCAAATAGAAATTATAATAATTTTCAGATAAAAAAAACGGACAAGCACACAAATTGTTGTCTTGGCCCCTAGTTAATTATTTTAAAATATAGAAATTATAATAACACAAAAAGCGATAATATGGTCTGGCCGAACTAATTATTTTCAAATATACAATCATTATATTACGAACTAGTAATTTAGAATATAATCGAACTTACAATTATTTCATTATCAAAATTACTGTCTATATAACACATACGTAATAATTTTTTAAATCGCACATATATACGCGTGCGTGTATTTTTACACAAATATATATAAATATATGTTACCGTCATAGCCGGAAATCTGCCATTGCTAGTAATTCCTCGGCATTTTCATCAATGCAAAGAGCATTCCGATGAAGTCGGAAACAGAAGAATTCTTACAATTTTTCCTAAGCATTGAACATAGTACTTTGATATTCAGAAACTTTTTTTCATATACAGAAACTTTTCAAAGAAATATCAGAGATTGCAATGCGGTAAATTGTGCATCTTTGCAATTTCTTTGAAAAGTTTTGGTAAATATTTTTTATACTAAAAGTGAATAAATTTTATTGAAACTTATATTAAATTAAAGTACACTCTTTTGTCTACG